ATTTGGAATCCAACACTTATAAACTCTTCTCAAGCAGGCATTAAATAATTAGAAAACATTCATCAGTTACTAAGCCATAAAAACATCAAAATGTATCCCCAAGAAGGTAATATATAATTGATTCTCCCCATCTTTTCATTATACCTTGAACAAAAAAAGTAATCTGTGACTGAGTAAAGCATAGACAATTTGAAAAAGAGAAATACTTCTTCTTAAACTTGTTGTAAAATGAAGCATAAAATAAAACTGATTTATGAAAAAGTAAAGATTATTTTTGAGTAAACGCTTGTAAAATTGAGAAATTATCTAACGTGTGCACATGTCCCTTCTCTCTAAAATTGAGATGAAGTCATATAACAGAGATTTATGTCCTGGTTTATTTTTTACTAAATATTACTTCATAATAATTTTCTCACAGGACTGTCTCGTCTTTTAACTTAGGCTCAAACCCAGTCACCGAGTTTCCTACTCATCCTCCAGCCAAGAAAACAAAGTATCTCTTCTAAAGATCAATTTATATCAACAGACATCTGAGAATTAATTTTAAAATTTGGTGTAGACAAGATGCATTTTTTTTTGTTCATATCCCAGGTGTGGTTGAATAAAAGATACCTATTTTCTACCTAGACAGGTAAAGGATTCCGTTCTCAGTTTTCTGAATACGATTGATACAATTCTTTCATAATTAATTCTCCACTGTAATGGTGTGGTTACCAACTGAGTACCCAGATCTTTCACTAAAGAACTTCCCAGAAATCTCACCTTAATGGATGCTTCTTCCAAAATAGTCTTCAGAAATTCTGGAGTCACTGTCTTGTTTAGGATGGAATCACTGTCTGTAAAGCTTTGGAAAGATTAAACTTCAGACTACTATAATCTTGGAAAGGGCTGAGAAAATGAAAGCTAACAAGGAAAAACAGCACCTGTTAGAGCCACTGAAAATCTTAATTGTAGATGGCCTTCCCACACTGTACTGACTCCTAACTAGAAAGAAGTTATGTAATCATGAAACAATTTTGAGGCTGTCAACCTTTGTAGCTTTCTATTTCAGATGTCAGAGAAACTGGACAGTTCCTCTTTGCAAAACGTAATCTCAGTCACAAGGAGAAATGATAGCAAACAGTGCTTCTTTCCTTTTTTGACTTACAGATACTTGCTGGAAGGAGCTTCAAACTCAAAACTTTCTTATAAAGCTAACTTAGATATAGGTCATTAGAAACTGGTAGCCCCTTGAATGAGTATCTTAATGTCAAGTGAGAAAGGTGAAACACCAAGGTTTCTCCCTCCTTTCCCATTCCCAGAGTGGCAGAAGCAGATCTTGGTAGAGATGTCTATTGCTACCAGAACTTGTCTTCATCTCTTGGTTATGAGCGGGTCTACTATAAAATTGTTTTTGTTTAAATAGTACCTACATATTCACTTGGTTATTGATAACTGATACACCTGAAGCTTGACAAAGACAGAAATTCATTATGAATATATAAATTGTTACTCAAATAATTTGAAAGAGTTTCATACCAGCTGCTCTCTTGAGTATAACTGAGCTGCCTTAACTTGATTATTAAATTCATGATCAGTCATGCTTTCTGCATTATTTATGGATAGTCAGTTTATATCATGATTGAAACCTTGAAAGTTCTGGAAGAGCACTGAACCTCTGGAATGATAGGGGGCCTGATAAACCCTTTGTACTGCAAAGTTTTTTATTTTCTCTGTAAAGAACAGTGAGTGCACTACAAAGTATCATAACTCTTTTTGTCAAACGAATGGTACCAGTTAGTAGACAGTGCTGTGATTACCAACTAGCTGATCTGTAAGCAAAATGTGGTCATGAGTGGAAAAGGATCCCCAAAACAGCTAATAGGGGAAAATGATCCAAGGCCATCTGAGGGAAGAATAAAACTGATTGTCTTAATCCAAATCAGCAACATAGAGAGTTAACGTTTGGATTTGGAAACTGTCTGAATAACCCCTCTAAGGAAAGAGTAAATCAGAAAAAGCCAAGAGGATCTAGAATGGCAGCCACTAACACATGTGGGTGTTCATTGTTTCAGTTTCTCACTTATGTTGATGCTTTGAGTAGGTCTTAAGGTAAAGGGTAAAGAGAAACACAAGGAAAACTCATTGGGATCCCCAGTTCCGTGTTTGGGAATCAAAGGACCTCATGACAGGAGTTACCACGTTTCACGACAGCTTTCTGCCCTGATATGGTTCAGCTCTGTGTTCCCACCCAAATCCCATCTTGTAGCTCCCATAATTCCCACTTTTTGTGGGAGGGACCTGGTGAGAGATGACTGAATTATGAGGGTAGATCTTTCCCATGCTGTTCTCATGATAATGAATGGGTCTCTTGAGATCTAATAGTTTTAAAAAATGGGAGTTGCTCTGCACAAGCTCTCTCTTTGCCTGCTGCCATCCACATAAGATGTGACTTGCACCTTCTTGCCTTCCACCATGATTGTGAGGCCTCCCCAGCCATGTGGAACTTTAAGTCCAATAAGCCTCTTTCTTTTGTAAAATGCCCTGTCTTGGGTATGTCTTTATCAGCAGCATTAAAACAGACTAATATAGTAAATTGGTACCAGGAGAAGGGCACTGCTGAAAAGATACCTAAAAATGTGGAAGCAACTTTGGAACTGGGTAACAGGTAGAGGCTGGAACAGTTTGGAAGGTTCCGAAGAAGACAAGAAAACATGGGGAAGTTTGGAACTTCCTAGAGTCTTGTTGAGTGGCTTTTGACAAAAACGCTGATAGGCATATAAACAATAAGATCCAGGCTGAGGTGGTTTCAGATGGAGATGAGAGACTTGTTGGGAACTGGAGCAAAGTTTACTCTGTGGCTCTTGTTATGTTTTAGCAAAGAGACTGGTGGCATTTTGCCCCTCCCTTAGAGATTTTTGTCTTAGAGCTTGAGAGAGATGATTTAGGGTGTTTGATGGAAGAAATTTCAAAGCAGGAAAGCATTCAAGATGGGACTAAAAAAATTTGTTGTAATAGAGGGGATCTTTATCAATCTGATGAAGGACATCTACAAGAAACCTAAAGCTGACATCATACTAAATACTGAGAAATCCCAAGCTTTCCTATCAAGACGAGGCACAAGACAAGGGTGTTCCCTCTCACCACTCCATTTCAACATTGTACTGGAAGGTCCAGTAAATGCAATATGACAAGAAAAGGAAATAAAAGCTGTATAAATTGAGAAAAAAGAAATAAAACCGTCTTTTTTCACAGTTATCATAATTATCTATGTAGAAAAACCAAAAGAATCAACAACAATAACAAGAGAAAAACTCCTGGAACTAATAAGTGATTATAGCAAGACTGCAGGATACAAGGTTAATATAGGAAATTTCATTCCTAAATGCTAGAAATGAACACGTACAATTTGAAATTAAAAACACAGTAGCATTTCTGTTAGCATAAAGAAAAATGAAGTAGGTACAAATCTAACAAAATATATTCAATAGCTACATAAGGAAAACCATAAAACTCTCATGAAAGAACCATAAACGTACTAAATAAAAGTAGGGGTATTTTATGTTCATGCGAAGTAAGACTCTATATTGATTGCCAAGATGTCACTTCTTCCCAATTTGATTTATAGGTTCAATGCAATCCCAATTAAATCATAGTAAGATATTTTGTGCATATCAACATTTTTCTACATTTTTATTGTATATATTTAAAAAGTGCAACATCTTTCATATATTTATATATACTGAAATGATTATCATAGTGATACAATTAACATATCCATCTTCTCACAAAGTTACCTTTTTCATTTTGTAACATAAGCACCAACAATCTAATTTTTTTGCAAAAATCTTAAGTCTAGTACAATATTATTAACTGTAGTCCTTATGTTGCATTATGGATCTCTAGAATTATTCCTACTACATATCTGCCACTCCATGTAAAGTTTAGAATCAATCTGTTGATAGCACAAGTATATTAAATGGCATTTGACATCATTAGCTATTCATGAAATGCAAATTAAAACCTCACATCTGTATCACCTCACATCTGTTAGGATGGCTATTAGCAAAGAGAGACAAGCGTTAGTGAGGATGTGGAGAAAAGGGAACCCCTGTACACTGTAGACAGAAATGTAGATTGTACAGTCACATTAGTATGGAGATTCCTAAAGAAATTAAAAATAAAACTCATGGAAGAAGTAATTAATAAAGTTGGGCTTTATTAAAATTAAAAATTTATCCTGTAATCCCAACACTTTGTGAGGTCAGGGAGGTGTGGATCACTTGAGGTCAGGAGTTCAAGACCAACCTGGCTAACATGGTGAAACCCTATCTCTACTAAAAATCCAAAATTTATCTGGGCGTGGTGACACATGCCTGTAGTCCCAGCTACTCAGAGGCTGAGGCAGGAGAATTGCTTGAACCTAGGAGGTGGAAGTTGCAGTGAGCCAAGATCATGCCACTGCACTCCAGCCTGGTCAACAGAGTGAGACTCCATCTCAAAAAAAAAAAAAAAAAAATTCTACTCTGCCAAAGACATTTTAAAGAGAATAAAAAGACAAACCACAGATTGAAAAAAAATATTTGCAAAAGATGTATCCAATAAAAGACTGTGGTGGGTACAAATCTAACAAAATATATTCAGTATCTACATAAGGAAAACTATAAAACTCTTATGAAAGAAACATAAAAATACCAAAATAAAAAGAGAGGTGTTTTATGTTCATGGGAAGTAAGACTCAATATTGATTGTCAAGATATCAGTTCTTCCCAACTTGATTTATAGATTCACAAATATATAAGAACTATTAAAACTAAACAATAAGAAAATGCACAACCTGATTTTTAAAAATCTGGAAAGGATCTAAACATATACTTCACCAAAGAAGATATGTATATGAAAAATAAGCATATGAAAAGATGCTCAACATCATATGTTCACAGGGAATTGCAAATGAACAATAACGAGATACCACTACACATTTATTAGAGTAGCTAAAATCCAAACCCTGACAATACCAAATGGCGGTGAGGATGTGGAGCAACAGAACTTTTATCAATCGCTGGTGGAATTGCAAAATGGTACAGCCACTTTGGAAGACAGTTTGACAATTTCTTAGAAAACTAAAAATACTCATACATTCCAACACTTGTTCTACTTGGTATTTACCTAAAGGAGTTGAAAACTTAGGTCCACACAAGAAGCCTTCAGACACAATTATAGTGTCTTTACTCCACGTTCAGAAGCAACCAAATGTCCTTCAGTAGGTGAGTAAATCAGTAAACGGTGGTATATCCAGACATTGGAATATTATTCAGCCTTAGAAGAAACGTGACGTTAAGACTTGAGAAGATGTGGAGGAACCTTAACTGTGTATAATTAAATGAAAAAAACTAATCTGAAAAGACTATCTACTGTATAATTCTATAATGACAAAAGTATAGAGAGTAAAATCAGTGGTAGCCATTTGGTTGTGGGAAGAAAAGGAGTAAATGGAGAACAGATCGTTTTTAGGGCAGTGATGTATGATACTATACTGGTGGATGCATGTCATTTTGCACTTGTCTAAATGTTTTGAGTGCACAATGCCAAGAGCGAGCCCTAATATAAATTGCAGAATGTGTCAATGTTGGACACATGTTCACCGATTGTAGCAAATGTACCTCTCTGGTGGGGGATGTTGATGATAAGGGAGGTAGTACAGGTGTGGGGTGAGGGGCATATGGAAACTGTGATTTCCATTTCATTTGTTGTAAATCTAAAACTGCTCTAAAAAATAAAGTAGATTAAACAAAAAAAGAAGGTACTATGGAATTTAAAGATAACAAAATTTCTTTGTCATAAAACATCCAGGAAGGGGAGAGCTTGTAAGCAGCCCCGTCAGTGAGTGATCGCCCTGTGGTAGGGTTTTAGTAGCCTGGCTGCTGCTAAAAGCAGACGAGAACTTGTATTAACTGAACTTCTTCTCTATGCCGGACTTTAATCACCGTTCTTTTTCATATCCCCGAATTCTTCCCAATAACTTCTCAAGGCTGGTATGCGTCAGTTGAAACGCTTTATATCTCTGGGTTTTCTTTCTAGGCCATGGCCAAAAGAGCACCATGGTCTGTTTGCCCCTTGTTGGAAGTGAAGTTTATATCCTCAAAGAGAACTGAGTCCAGGTCAGTTTCAGAAGTGACTTTGCCCACTTTTAAGCAGTCTAGTCAATAAGTAATTGCAGGACTTCTGCAGCGGCACTCATATTCCACACAAATAAAAACTGTTTGGTGTTTTGGCCCTTTGTTGAACTTCTGAACGGAATGATACACTTACGGATTCAGGAGTCCTTGTGTTCTATTAGGTATGATATGTGTAACTATCATGTGAACAATAATAGGAATCAACAAATTTTTAAGCACCTACTATAAGCCAACTTAAATTATCTTAATTCTTTCAGCAGCCTCCCAATTAAGTATTATCGTCAGTTTTGCAAATGAGGCACAAAGGGTTAGCTACATTGCACTACAATTTACAATGACGTTTTATGGAATTAGAATGAAAACTCACTTTTCTGACTGTATGTTCTATTATAACCAACATTGAAAATTGTGTTTGTGGTCTTGTCTTTTAGTAGTTTCTGAGAGTGAATCATGAGAAACAGCACTGTGTGTATGTGGATGGGTTTGCAGACAACCAGAGATGTACGGACAGGCAGATGAGCTGACTGCATTTTTTTTTTTTTAAAGAAAATGACAGTTTAAAAAATGCTCTGAAAGAAGAAACAAGTATGGTCACATCTTTTTTAATTTGGAACTCCCATGGTCTACATTCCTCTTTTTGTGTGTTGGATTGCTTTGATGTATTTCAAAGAAGGATTCAAGCAATTAACTTGATCTGCTTTCTCTTGATGCTTTTACCCTGGTTTCAAAATGAAAAACACCATTTATCATAGTTCAAAAAATTTTTTAAATGTATGAAGCTCAAGGAATGTGTGTGACCCACTTTGTGCAAGTTAGTAGCAAAGCCTAGATTAAAAGTCAGGTCTCCTGACTCCTAATCTACATCTCCACAGTGACTCCTATGAATGTAGGAAACATTTCCCTTCTGTATGGTTCAGGCAAAGTCTCCTAATCAGGCCTGGAGAAGGGACTCCTAGTTGGACTGTATTCTAGAGCTGTTTCTTTGACATCCTGATCTACATTCCCCTGTTCCCAATTAGCATTAATCGAGGGAGAAAGAAGAGAAAACGGAAGCCTCCCCAAAGCTCCCTGTTCCACAACTCACGGAGGGGGTGGTCTCTGTAGAGAAAATGTTAATAATTACAGAAGTTGAGGCTGTGAATCATTCCATGGCACCAGCTCCCTCCTGGGAACTATTTCCTTGTGTCTCTCCCTGGCTTCCCCAGCTCAATTAAGCAGCTTGTTTGCTTTCTCATTAGCAAAACTTGTTAGCACTTTGTTCTATTCTCCTGAGTTGCTTAGGAAAAAAGTTTTGTGGGAGGATTTGCTTCACTGGATAGGTCTGACTCTCATGTTCTCTATGAAATACTGAGGTACCCAGGTCCCCCAAACAGGCCATGTGTCACAGTGGCAGTTCAGCAGTGGGTCCAAGGCTCCACTTGTGTGGCCAAAGGGAAGAGGAAGCAAAAAATCTAGACTGGCTAAGGATAGGGAAGTTCAATGCAACTGCCTCAGATCTGGCTGATGAAGAAATATGTAAGACCTGTTTTGCACACATTGCTCAAAGACTCCCGGGTGCATTGCATATTGTTGCGCCTCTAAGCAGAGGTGCCTGTGCCTTCTTCTCTCTCCTCTCAATGCACAGAACTTCTACAGACCCTACACATTGTTACAGCTTTTCAGAGCTCATCAAAAACTTTCATATCTCAATAATGCTCCCACTTCCTGAGCATGAGCTTACTCTGTTCCTGGCTTACCCAGAACAGAGACTGATTACATTAGTAGGGAGGTTTATAGCCCGTATATTTCAGGTGAAGTGGAATCTTGGCTTAAGGCAGAAGCTGAATGAGAACCTCTAAATACTCCAGTACCTGGATTTTTTTTTACTCAAGGAGAGAGTCTTCCAATCTTGAGGTTAAATATTTTCTTTTTCTTTTTTTGAGACGGAGTTTCGCCCTTGTTACCCAGGCTGGAGTGCAGTGGCGCGATCTCGGCTCACCGCAACCTCCGCCTCCTGGGTTCAGGCAATTCTCCTGCCTCAGCTTCCTGAGTAGCTGGGATTACAGGCACGCGCCACCATGCCCAGCTAATTTTTTGTATTTTTAGTAGACACGGGGTTTCACCATGTTGACCAGGATGGTCTCCATCTCTTGACCTCATGATCCACCCACCTCGGCCTCCCAAAGTGCTGGGATTACAGGCGTGAGCCACCGCGCCCGGCCCGAGGTTAAATATTTTCTACAGTAAAACTCTCCAAACAAAATATCATCTTTTCCTGCTGTTTAAATAATTCCAGCTCTCTCAGGAAATTTTTCAAGTTGATATGAGGAGACTCGATGGTTTCCTCTATATTGATGTAATCTCTGTGAAAATGCTTTTCAGTGAATGTTCTGCTATCCAATTTAATTTTGCTATTATCTTGTGTGGGGTTTTTCCCCCCTCTGATTCCTAAATATCAAACTACATTTGTATCTACAAGTGATGCAAATGTCTTCTCCAATGGATCGGTGCTTCAATCTGTTATTTATACAGCCTCTACATCCATCCAGTACATGCTTAGGGATTGTGCTCAGTTGAGGTCGGAGTCCATGTACTGGTCGCAAGGCTTTTATGAAGATGATGCTGATAGTGATGAGAACCACAGTGATGATGCCAACATAAACATATGTAAACGCCACATGTAAAAACAATCTGATGTCTACACAATGAGAGCAATACTGGTTTTGGTGGTTTAAAGCACAATTTGGCACATCGTGAGTATTTGACAATGATTAAATCAGTGAGTAAATGACAGGGGAGATGGTGAGGGTAGTGGTGGTGATGATTGTTGTGGAGACAGAGATAGTCAAAGCAGAAGTGATGGCACTGCAGATCTTTCTCACACTGTGGTAAGGTTAATAATGGAAAAACACTTTTGCAGGGATATGGACCGAGCTGGAGGACATTATCCTCAGCAAACTAATACAGGAACGGAAACCCAAATGCTGCACGCTTTCATTTATAAGTGGGAGCTAAATGTTGAGAACACATGGACACACAGAAGGGAACAACATGCACTGGAGCCTATTGGAGGGTGGAGAGTGGGAAGAGGGAGAGGATCAGAAAAAAATAACCAGAGCCCGGCACAGTGGCTCATGCCTGTAATCCCAGCACTTTGGGAGGCCGAGGCGGACGGATCACCCGACCAGGAGTTCAGGACCAGCGTGACCAACATGGTGAAACCCCATCTCTAATAAAAACACAAAAATTAGCTGCGCATGGCGACAGGCGCCTGTAATCTCAGTTGCTTGGGATGTTGAGGCAGGAGAATCACTTGAGGTTGGGAGGCAGAGGTTACAGTGAGCAGAGATCGTGCCATTGCACCCCAGCCTGGGCAACAAAGATCAAAATTCCATCTCAAAAAAAAAAAAGAAGGAAAAAAATAAAAAGAAAAAATAAGTAATGTATACTAGGCTTAATACCTGAGTGATAAAATAATCTGTACAACGAACTCCCATGACACAAGTTTACCTACGTAATAAACCTGCACATGCACCACACATGTATTAAACATGCACATGGACTGCACATGTATTAAAATGAAAGTATAACACATAAGTTAAAAAAAATAGACAAACAGATTATTTCCTCCTTTCTGGTCATTTGGCCGATCTTAATAGAATGGAGTGGAAATGCATCTGATTGAGAAGTCTTTTTGCAAAGTAATTTTTAAGAAGATTAAACTGATTTTTGGAGCGATCAAGGTGCTGTTCTCCATGTATACACAAGGATATATGAGTTGGATTTTTCTCTTTTTATTAAAGTCTATATGGGACTTGCAAAACTTCTAGTGGCCCAGAGGAGGCAATGCCCTTGGGATTGGATTCTAAAGTCCACCACGAGGTTTGCGAAAGTGAGAAAAGTCATTTGAGAAACAGAGCTGCCCTGCTGCACTTCCTTTTGCACAGCTTCTTGCCCCAGAGAAGTCCTCACTGAAAGCTTTACACACTTAGCAACTCCAGGGAACAGACAGTCCGGGGCCCCCGGGAGGCCTGCATTTCCAGGAATATGAAATATAAGTAGGGAAGTGTCTCAGGGTAGAAAGGATGCTGAGGAGAATGCTGTGTGTTCTAATGTCATCAAAACCATCAGGTAATGGGCAGGAGTGGTGCCAAAAAGATGAGAGTAGCCAAAGAAGAAAAGTAGACAAAGGCTTTTTTTTTTTTTTTTTTTTTTTTTTTTTTTTAGATGAAGGCTTTGAATGTATTTGAAAGAGGCTTTGAATGAGGCTTATTAGGGTGTGGGAGGAAAACTCAGTGACATTGGTGTTGATTCCCCTCAAAACCCATAATCATTTTCCAATAGCTTTAGGGAAACATATATTATCTCTGTTGTAAGGGTTTTAGGAAACAAACTCAGGCTTTTTTTTTTTTTTTGAGAAGAGGATGCTGAGGTTAAGTAAAAAGTTGCTCAACCTAATGTCCATTGCCGCTGAGTGGCAACCAAATCCATGACTTCAGAAGCGGCTCCGCCGGGCGCGGTGGCTCAGGCCTGTAATCCCAGCACTTTGGGAGGCCGAGGCAGGCGGATCACGAGGTCAAGAGATCGAGACCATCCTGGCCAACACGGTGAAACCCCGTCTCTACTAAAAATACAAAAATTAGCCGGGCATGGTGGCATGTGCCTGTGGTCCCAGCTACTTGGGAGAATGAGGCGGAAGAATCGCTTGAACCCAGGAGGCGGATGTTGCAGTGAGCCGCGATTGTACCACTGCACCACTCTAGCCTGGCGACAGAGCAAGAGTCCATCTCAAAAAAAAAAAAAAAAAAAAAAGAAAGAAAAGAAAAGTCTCTTGGCTTCTTCTTGACTTCGTGGTTTTTCCTTTTTGAGAATTCCTAGCACATATCCTTTGGGGGATCATGTTTTCACCCAGCACAGTGTATCCACTGGGTGAATTATCATCAGGCACCATGGGCCTAGGATTTTACAGTTTTCAAAGATTCTCAATTTCTTTCATTTTCCATTTTTTCTTCTTCTAGTCCTTACCAGGATAGTCTAAACACTTCAGAGGGCCTTCCTGGAAGAAGCTTCAATGTTCACTTTTGAGAGATGACTTTTCTCCCTTCTCCATAGCCCAATACTGTTGGTTATTTTATCGTTGGAAACTACGGAGGGATAGCAATAGGAATTTTCTAGCTCTCTTATTATTTGATGGTGGAGTAGGGGAGAAAATCACTGAGTCACTGGAGCACCGTATTATAACATAGAAAGGGTTTAAACTGGGACTAGGAGCCTTGGTTTCTAGTCCCAGCCCTGTTACCAACAGACCAGGATATGGGGACAACCATATCTGCTTTTGGGGTTTCAGTTCCTCTAGTGTAAAGTGCGGAACATTGATTAGATAACGTCTCAAGTTCCTTTCAAGTGCTCAGATTTTCTGAATAGAGAAGAAGCTTGAAGTAATTTATATTCTATCTTTATCCCTTGTTCCTAGGAATTGTGGATCATGTCAATCATACCTGGATCCAGAGTTTTATCCTTGCTGGTTTCACTACCACTGGGACCCTACAACCTCTTGCCTTCTTGGGGACCCTGTGCATCTATCTCCTCACTCTTGTAGGGAACATTATCATCATTGTCCTGGTACAGTTAGATTCTGGGTTGTCCACGCCCATGTACTTCTTTATCAGTGTCCTCTCTTTTGTAGAGGTGTGGTATGTCAGCACCACAGTGCCCACACTGCTGCATACCTTGCTCCGTGGGTGTTCACCCATCTTACCAGCTGTATGCTTTATTCAGCTGTATGTCTTTCATTCCTTAGGCATGACTGAGTGCTACCTGTTGGGTGTCATGGCACTGGATCGCTACCTTGCCATCTGCCACCCTCTTCACTACCATGGACTCATGAGCAGACGGGTACAGTTACGACTAGCTGGAGCCACTTGGGTGGCTGGCTTCTCAGCTGCACTTGTGCCAGCCACCCTCACTGCCACTCTACCCTTCTGCTTGAAAGAGGTGGCCCATTACTTTTGTGACTTGGCACCATTAATGCAGTTGGCATGTGTGGACACAAGCTGGCATGCTAGGGCCCATGGCACAGTGATTGGTGTGGCCACTGGTTGCAACTTTGTGCTCATTTTGGGGCTCTATGGAGGTATCCTGAGTGCTGTGCTGAAGCTACCCTCAGCTGCCAGTCGTGCCAAGGCCTTCTCCACTTGTTCCTCCCACGTGACTGTGGTGGCACTATTCTATGCTTCTGCCTTCACAGTATATGTGAGCTCACCTGGAAGTCGACCTGAGGGCACAGACAAGCTTATTGCCTTGGTGTATGCCCTTGTTACCCCTTTCCTCAATCCTATCATCTATAGCCTTCGCAACAAGGAGGTGAAGGAGGCTTTTAGAAGGGTCACTGACAGGATCAGAACTATTTTTAGGGAACCTCAGTGATCTAATTTGTCATAGCCCAGCTTGTTGGTAATTGTGAGAATCAGCTGGATGGTTTGTGAGTCATGTGTTCAGAGTCAAAGAAAACGCCAGTACAGAAATCAAATAGATCAGTAGTCAAGTGTGCTGCACACACCCGTGACTGAATTGGTCAAAGTTGGAAGATGTAAAGAGAAAGGGTTATGGTTTCTGATTATCCCATTCTTATGGGAAAGAAGTGCCACAAAGGGAGAAGAAACGGGGATGTAAAACAAGTGGTTAAACTGTGTTTATGACTAGAGAGACAGTGCAATACTGAAAGAAAGAAAGAAGACAAACTAAAGCTAGGAGTGGCAGGTTTAGTCAAGATAAAATTCCTAGAGAAAAGTAAGAAGGTAGAAAACTAGGTTGTCAAAAAGAAGTCTAAAATTTTAGCTTGTATAAAGTTGCAGATGTAGATCAGTGAGCCACGAGCAGAATGCTTATCAGTTTGTGGCATCCAGGGATTCTGGGTTATTATGTGACCAAAGGTTGCTTGATGGAGAAAAAGCTGAAGTCCTGATCACAATTCTTTTCTCTCCAGCTCCTCTGTTGCTTCCTCTGCTGAGCAGAGTAATCCCCCATTCCTTAATGGTGTGTGAACTGGGGGGCAAGTACCTGCTAGAGTATGGTGTCTAAATAAGTGAGAAAAATAGGACCAGATCTTGGCAGAGACGAAGTATTGGCTAAGCTTGACTACTTTTTCGTTTTCTTCATTCTTACACATCTTATTGCTTTATTTTCTGTATGTCTATCTATGCCAGAAATAGTGGCAGCTGCCTTCATTTTTCAAAAATTTAATCTTCATAATGTCCCTCTGAAGAAGGAAAAATATCCCATATTTACATAATAAAGTTAGGAAGATTATTGAATTTTCAGGAAAGAGACAAATTTAACCCTAAATCAACTTCAGCTGACCAAGTGACCCTCCTCAGCCTGTTTCTCTCTGTCTGCAAAATGAAAGGGTGCAGTGGATGAGTACTCACATTTCTCTTAGCTTAGGGAGTTTTGATGCTACGCTTATAGCACTTCTTAAGGAAAGCAGGACCTGAACTAGGTCCAGATGCATAAAATCTGAATTTCCAGAGCAGAGATGGAAAGGTGTTGGTACAAATTTAGGTGTTGCCATTTTTGTCTCTGTGATTCTGGGCAAAAAACATAAGCTCTCTCTGATGCCAGATTTGTTTTCCCTTAAAAAATCGACATCAAAGTGTTCCAAAGTTACATAACACATAGTAAGTATTTCATAAACAAGTTAGTCTCAGTATCCCAGAATCAGGACAGGGTTGCAGCATGGACTTTGAAGCCTATCTGCCTGTGTTCACACCACAATTCCACCATTACCTGCTGTGTGATCATACGGGGTACACTTCCTCTACCTCAGTTTCTTTATATGTAAAATGGGGATATAAAAGAATATTTATTTATTTATTTATTTTTATTCCATTTTAGGTTTTGGGGTACATGTGAAGAACATGCAAGATAGTTGCATAGGTACACACGTGGTAGTGTGATTTGCTGCCTTCCTCCCCTTCACCTATATCTGGCATTTCTCCCCATGCTATCTCTCCCCAACTTCCCACCCCCCACTGTCCCTCCCCTGTTCCCCCCAACAGACCCCAGTGTGTAGTGCTGCCCTCCCTGTGTCTATGTGTTCTCATTGTTCAACACCTGCCTATTAGTGAGAATATGCGGTATTTCATTTTCTGTCCTTGTGTCAGTTTGCTGAGAATGATGTTCTCCAGGTTCATCCATGTCCCTACAAAGGGCAGGAACTCATCGTTTTTGATGGCTGCATAATATTCTATGGTGTATATGTGCCACATTTTCCCTGTCAAGTCTATCATCAATGGGCATTTGGATTGGTTCCAGGTCTTTGCTATTGTAAACTGTGCTGCAATGAACATTCGTGTGCATGTGTCCTTATAGTAGAACGATTTATAGTCCTTTGGCTATATGCCCAGTAATGGGATTGCTGGGTCAAATGGAATTTCTATTTCTAGGTCCTTGAGGAATCGCCACACTGTCTTCCACAATGGTTGAACTAATTTACACTCCCACCAGCAGTGTAAAAGTGTTCCTATTTCTCCACATCCTATAAGAATATTAAGCATATAAATATTAATCATTATTACTTCAAAGCTTTCCACATAAATGTCTTCAGTGGGGCATTATTTTTTTGATAATGCTAAGTTTTACAGAGGCATCTTCTTTTGACCTAAGGGTCCAAATTTATCTTTCCGTAAACTGAGGAATAGTCCCTGCTTTCAAGAAGTCTATGCTGTTTCTCCAAACACAAGGTGCAAAACTTTGTTCTGCTGACAGGCTGAGTCTACTGCTTTTCAGCTCCTTTTTCTCCTGCTGTACCTCACTTCACTCAGATTACTCTTTCTGCAGGAACTATTTTGGGCTCAACAGAAACTCTTCTTTCCCTGAGGTGGCAGCTCTAGAGGATGCCTCAAATTGAAATGGCTTAGATCACATTAATTAAGAGGTCATCATGGTAATAATAATTACTAAAACCATTATAGCAATTATTATTATTAATTGCTAATATCTGTGGGGTACATACTGTGCAGAGAACAGGAGGGACTTACCATCCTGTAGTGAAGACATAAGTAGTCATCTAACAACTCGAAGTGGCATATATTGATTAATTTATACTATAGTGCTTGGCATCCACTACACCATGGAATATATATATATATATATATATTTTTTGAGACGGAGTTTCGCTGTTGTTACCCAGACTGGAGTGCAATGGCATGATCTTGGCTCACCGCAACCTCTGCCTTCTGGGTTCAAGCAATTCTCCTGCCTCAGCCTCCCGAGTAGCTGGGACTACAGGCGTGTACCACCATGCCCAGCTAATTTTTGTATTTTTAGTAGAGACAGGGTTTCACCATGTTGACCAGGATGGTCTCAATCTCTTGACCTCATGATCCACACGCCTCAGCCTCCCAAAGTGCTGGGATTATAGGCATAAGCCACTGTGCCTGGCCACACCATGGAATATTATGCAGCCATCAAAAACGATGAGTTTGTGTCCTTTGTAGGGACATGGATGAATCCAGAGAACATCATTCTCAGTAAACTGACACAAGAACAGAAAATGAAATACCGCATATTCTCACTCATAGGCGGGTGATGAACAATGAGAACATATGGACACAGGGAGGGGAACACTACACACTGGGGTCTATTGGGGGGAATAGGGGAGGGACTGGGGGGGAGCTGGAGAGGGATAGCATGGGGAGAAATACCAGATGTGGGTGAAGGGGAGAAAGACAGCAAATCACACTGCCACGTGTGTACCTATGCAACTATCTTGCATGTTCTGCACATGTACCCCAAAACCTAAAATGCAATAAAAAATAAAAAAAAGAACAACAACAACAACAAAAAATCAATAAGCAAACTCTTAAGAGTCAAATGGGTGTGATAGAGATTGAGCGTCCTGCTGAAACTCCACCAGAAGTTTTTTTTTTTTTTTCAGATCCGTTTATAGCTGCAAACTCCCCTTGCCTTTCATTATGCACTTTTTTTTTTCTCTTGAGACCTCCTTAGGTATTTCCTTTATAATACAAAGCTCAGGTCATCTTTAGCACAGAGCTTCTCAACAGATACAAGTAACAAATGTGCTGAGTTACCCTGACCTTAATACACACCCTATGAGTGGTCAGATAGGGCCTATGGAAATGGAAGTCCTTGGATTTGTTTCCTCCAGCAGAAAGTGGCCTTTCTGTTCACCTCAGTGTGCCCTATAGACACCATCCCTTTTATAAGTGTTATGATATAAAAATAAGAGTCTGATGACACAAGAACTGAAAATCAAACACCGCATGTTTTCACTTATAGGTGGGTGTTGAACAATGAGAACAGATGGACACAGGGAGGGAAGCACTACACACTGGGGTGTAGTGCACACTGGGGTGTGTTGGGGGGAAATGGGGAGGAACAGCGGGGGTGGGGCGTTGGGGAGAGAGAGCATGGGGAGAAATGCCAGATATAGGTGATGGGGAGGAAGGCAGCAAATCACATTGCCACGTGTGTACCTATGCAACTATCTTGCATGTTCTTCACATGTACCCCAAAACCTAAAATGCAATTAAAAAAAAAAAAAGAAAATAAGAGTTTGAGAAGTAGTGCCTTAGTGTGACATATTGGGGTAAGTGCCCAAGATAAAGTCCAGCTTTTGACCACTTCTCCTATGGTGACAATTGGATATTGACTCTAGCAAGATAGGCAATAAGAAGCAGTCAGGTCTAAAAGGCAGCATAATCAGACCATTCACGCGGTACTCGCATCAAGGCTAACATTCTAGCTCATAGGACATTGACATTCAAGTACATCAGAGAACAAACTGAAATGCTATCAATGTACCCTGGGACGTCAGATATAAACAACATTTGTGAGCAAACAAGGACATGTGACCTTGGGATCTATCACTTCATTTACATAGTTATTTTGTTTTAAAAGTTTATTTGCTTCAATAAATAATACCTCTAAAGGGGTCAAAACTTCATTGTATGTGTGAAGTTAAAATTTTTTCTTATGTTTTAAAAAAACTTTTATTGAAAAAAAATAATCAGGTGATTTGAGGATCCGTCTCCTCCCACTCTATGAAATAAATATCTAAAGGGAAGCAACAGTGTTATATGCATCATTTTCTCCAGTTCTTAGAGTAAAGTCTGGGGCATAAAGGATGTTTCAACAATGTATTAAATAAATAGAGAAGCAAATTATTGTGAATTCCACTATTTCTCACATTACATTAGTTGCATATCATATCATTTTTTCCTAACATTTAGAGCATGTTTCAAAAAAAAATGTATTACAAAGCACATTAAATGTTTAGTTAAATAGCTACTTCAAAAATTATTCCTCTATTCATTTCTAAATTCCAATAAGCATATGTTGTTTTTCCAAGTATGAATTTTTGAACATGTCGAATACGACTTTTGTCACTTAAGTTTTTAACAAAT